TTTTTGAAGCTGTTTCTTGAACTTTTGATACCATATCTAAGAAATCATTGCCTAACCTAGTGTCATAAAACTTGCCCTCTGTTCTAGTTTTAGCTCATATGTTTGTTTAGACCTTGAATCCATTTTGAATTAATTTTTTATATGTGGTGTGAGAATCCAACTTCATTCTTTTGAAAACTCACCAATTTTAGAATTGTTTGTTGCCTTTTTAACTTACAATATATAAGGCTGACTATGTAATGTTATAAAGAGCTTATCAAGATTTGTAAGAAGGGCTGTGGATGTGGCTCAAGTGGTAGCGCGCTTTCCTGGCATGCATGCGGCCCGGGTTCGATCCTCAGCACCACATACAAAGATGTTGTGTCCACCGAAAACTAAAAAATAAATATTAAAAAAAAATTATCTAAAAAAAGATTTGTAAGAAACAGATGCTCACTACTGCACAGATAAAATATATATATCTAAAAAGAACAAATAAAAAAATATATGCTTAGCTGGCCCTGGTGGTACATGCCTGTAATCCCAGAGCTTGAGGCAGGAGGATCATGAGTTCAAAGCCAGCCTCAGCAAAATAAGGCACTAAGCAACTCAGTGAGACTCTGTCTTTAAATAAAATACAAAATAGGGCTGGGGATGTGACTCAGTGGTCAAGCACCCCTGAGTTCAATCCCTGGTCTAAACCCCCCCAACCCCCCCCCCACTCCCAGAACATACATATGCATGTAAAGCCTTCATTTTTTTATTGCAAGTTAAAATAACTGTTGTGAATTTAATAATTGTTTTAATATGAAATACTTTCATTTCAGTGAAGATTTTCTCCACTATTGAAGTACATTTCCTTAAAAGAAATAACCAGTATTTTATTTTTTTTAATTTTAATTCTTTTTTTTTTAATTTTTATTGTTGGTTGTTCAAAACATTACATAGTTCTTGATATATCATATTTCACACTTTGATTCAAGTGGGTTATGAACTCCCATTTTTACCCCATATACAGATTGCAGAATCACATCAGTTACACATCCATTGATTTACATATTGCCATACTAGTGTCTGTTGTATTCTGCTGCCTTTCCTATCCTCTACTATCCCCCCTCCCCTCCCCTCCCCTCCCCTCTTCTCTCTCTACCCCCTCTACTGTCATTCATTTCTCCCCCTTGTATTATTTTTCCCTTTCCCCTCACTTCCTCTTGTATGTAATTTTGTATAACCCTGAGGGTCTCCTTCCATTTCCATGCAATTTCCCTTCTCTCTCCCTTTCCCTCCCACCTCTCATCCCTGTTTAATGTTAATCTTCTTCTCATGCTCTTCGTCCCTACTCTGTTCTTGGTTACTCTCCTTGTATCAAAGAAGACATTTGGCATTTGTTTTTTAGGGATTGGCTAGCTTCACTTAGCATAATCTGCTCTAATGCCATCCATTTCCCTGCAAATTCTATGATTTTGTCATTTTTTAATGCAGAGTAATACTCCATTGTGTATAAATGCCACATTTTTTTTATCCATTCGTCTATTGAAGGGCATCTGGGTTGATTCCACAGTCTTGCTATTGTGAATTGTGCTGCTGCTATGAACATCGATGTAGTAGTGTCCCTGTAGCATGCTCTTTTTTGGTCAATAACCAGTATTTTAAAGAGTTACATAACTTTTGCTTAAAGTGATGCCATGGATTTTTTTTTCTTTTTTCTTTTTTTTTTTTTTAGGCTGCTTTAAAACTCCATTGGTTAGGGCCTGGGGATGTGGCTCAAGAGGTAGCGCGCTCGCCTGGCATGCGTGCGGCCCAGGTTCGATCCTCAGCACCACATACAAACAAAGATGTTGTGTCTGCCGAGAACTAAAAAATAAATATTAAAAAAAAAAACTCCATTGGTTAGACTAGGGGTACACATCAATGGTAGAACTCTTGCCTAGCATGTGCAAGTTCCACATTGAAGCCTCAGCTCTGCTAAAGTATGCAAAAAGCCTAATGAGATATTAAGTAGCGAGGCTAAGTGTTATATATTCATTTCTATGATACTTTGTCTTTTTTCCCCTTTTTGGTTTGGGTGATTTCAGTTAGCTTTATGTTTTACATCTAGGCAATTTTTGATGTGTATATGTTTTTGTTTTATTTTTTTATTTTTCGTTTTTTAACAGATGTCGTACTGTTTAAGTACTGGGGATTGAACCTACTGGTGCTTTATCATTAAGCTACATCCCTCGACCTTTTTATTTTGAGTTAAGGCCTCACTGAATTGTCGAGGCTAACATTGAACTTGTGAGCCTTTTGCCTCAGCCTTCCAAGTCACTGGGATAACAGGTGGACACCACCACGTCAGGCTGTGTATATGCTTTTATAAACATGTACTCTTTGTAAAATGTATTTGCTTCATAAAATATTTTCTTATTATTGTGATAATGGAAAGACAAGAATGAATATTTAAGATATGAATTTGGCTTTGTATGTTTTACCCTTTTTTTTTTTGGTACCAGAGATTGAACTTGGGCATTCAACCACTGAGCCACATCCCCAGCCCTATTTTGTTTTTTATTTAGAGACAGGGTCTCACTGAGTTGCTAAGCATCTCACCATTGCTGAAGTTGGCTTTGAGCTCACCATCGTCCTGCTTCAGCCTCCCCAGCCACTGGGATTATACACGTGTGCCACCACACCCATCTTAACTTTTGTCTTAACAGTGTCCATATTAAAGTTTTTATGACTGTTGAAAACAACTTGTGAAGCTATATTGTTTTAAATACTAATTAGCATTTCAGCTATGTTTGTTTTTTAGCATCATTGCCAGTTTTTTCAGTTCTAGTAGCTTATCTAAAATGATAAATTTATCATTAAAAATTTTATTCTATGAACATTTTTAAAGAATCATAATGTATTTTTTTTTTCCTCTCAGGATATAAAATACAGACATAACAGATGTCGTACTGTTTTTATTTCATTAGTATAGAACAACCTTTGTTAGCTTGAGCTTAAAGAACAGTATTTTTTATAAATCAGCATACATTAGAATCAATTGGAGAAGCTGTTAAAACACACCTGTGCTGGGCACTGTGGCACACCCCTATAATCCCAGCCGCTCAAGAGGCTGAAGCAGGAGGATCGAGAATTCAAAGCCAACCTTAGCAACGGTGAGATGCTAAACAACTCAGTGAGACCCCTGTCTCTAAATAAAATACAAAATAGGGCTGGGATGTGGCTCAGTGACTGAGTGCCCCTGAATTCCATACCCAGTACAAAAAATAAAATTAAATAAAAACAACAAAAACAAAAAAAACACTTGTTTTCTGATTTGGTGGGTGTGGGGTGGGAAGAATTTTCATTACTTAAAAATTCCCAAGTGATGCTGATGCTGCTGGTTAGGGGAACAACATTAAGTTGAGATTCACTGCCATAAGAAATCTATATTGGAAATAAATTTACTTTTCTCTTAAACATAAGAATGGTCCTATTTATATACCAACTGTGGGAAAATAGAGGAACCTTATCTGTTCTGTGGGTTGAATCAGGAACCCAATTGGAAAAGGCTGGTTTAGAATGGTCTCATTTGTATTAAAAAGAATGTGCATATTGATATGTTCTTCAACATTTTTGGTATGTCAGCATTATATTTTTCATGTTTATAAACATTTTAATATTATTTGATAAAACGTTTAAAAATTTTTTTTAGTTGTTGATGGACTTTATTTTATATATTTATTTATATGTGGTGCTGAGAATCAAACTCAGTGCCTCACACATGCTAGGCAAGTGCTCTACCACTGAGCCACCAACCCAGCCTGATAAAATACTTTTTTTTTTTTTTTGTTTAGGAATGCGAGTGAAAAATTTATTTGCTCATTTGTTGCATTTGAAGTACTCTTTGTTAACAATCTTGGCCTGAGATTCTTTGCCATAGACCACAATTGCAACCAACCACTTTACAGGTTTGCCCTCTGGGTCAGTTTTACAGAGGACTGCCCATTCTCCTAGTTTCTTGTCTAAGACTGTGGCAGCTTCGTGAATTCCACATGCAAGACCATTGTGGATGAGGGCAGTCTTCAACACCTCTTGTAAAGCAGTGTTGAAGTCCACTACACCTCTAGCAGCAATGCCTTCCTTGGCCATGGCGCCATGGCAAAAGGTTATGGGTTATGGATGAAGCCGAATCTTAAAGTAACTGGAGCCTCCGCCTCTGCCCCCGTACAACTTGTTGACAGCAGGGAAAAGGCTGAAATACATTTTTAACAGATGCCAAGAAGTTTCTCTAGATAGATAGATCTCATTTTTCTAGGTAAATAATTACTTTATAAAAGATATTTTCTTTATAAATACATTTAGAAATATGAATTAAGTATTGCATTTTGACCAAAAAGCTTATCCCATTTCAGAATAATATGGCATTATTTAAGACTTTCTTGAAAATAAAAGGTATTTACACCTGGCCTGGTGGCATACCTCCTGTAATCCCAGCAGTTTGGGATTACAAAGCAGGAGGAATGCAGTTTAAAGCTAGCCACAGCAACTCAGCAAGGCCCTAAGCAATTCAGTGAGCCCTGTTTCTAAATAAAATAATAACAAAGGGCTGGGATGTGTCTCAGTGGTTAAGTGCCCCCGAGTTCAATCCCCCGTACCCCCCCCCCCAAAAAAAGAGATCTACTCAGTAGTATCTTATTTGTCTTTAGTGTGCCATTGAATGACATTTCCACAGGCTATTTAGTACTAATGTTTTTTCACTATATGTCTAGAAAAATGGTTAAAACTTTAGTGGATAGAGCTGACAAGAAAGGTATTGATAACAATAATAAGAAAAAAAAAGCCTATATGGGATGGAATTTATTTGAATTATCTAAAGAAATAGAAAAGCCCATTGTAAGGAACAAAAGAGAGGCAGGTATATATAATATAAACTTCTATAAGTAAAAATAACTTAGCACTAGTAGATTTTTGTTTTATTCAGGAAAACATTGACTTGACTTTTGCCATACAAAGTCCTTATAATTGGAGTATTTTCCTGTTTTGAAATTTAGGGCAGCAGCAATGACTCTACGCACGGTATTATTGTCATTGCAAGCATTGTTGGCAGCTGCAGAACCGGATGATCCACAAGATGCAGTAGTAGCAAATCAGGTAAGGTGATGCTTTTGAAAGTCTTCCTTATACCTGTTGATGAGTCTCTAGTGGTTTGTGATGTTAATTCATGAGCATGAGCTATTGGAACTAAATTTGGAAATGGTTTCCTTTCTCATAGTAAGATGATTTTTGTCAGATGTAATAGTGAAACCCTTATTTTTAACATAGTTTAATTGCGTACATGATAGGTGCTATTTTTCTAATGTTTGAGTGTTTCCAAACGTACAATCAGAAGAATTACAGTGAGGGCTAGACAGGGTAGCTCAGTAAAAGAGCACTTAACCTAGCATGCACAAGGCCCTGGGTTTGATTTCCCCAGCACCACAAAAACAACAAAAAAGGTGAACACCCATGTATCTACTATTTAGGTGGATAGATTTACTTATTTATTTTGAGATGTTGTTCTGCTATATTGCTTAGGGTGATCTTGAACTTGCAATGTTTCAGCCTCCTGAATTGCAGGGATCATAGTATGTATCCCCCCAGCTTCTAGATTCTGTGATTAACATTTTACTACACATATTATATTATGTATGTATCATGAACAGAGGTTCATCCTTACTTTTTTTTTTTTTTTTTTTTAATTTTTGTACTAGGGATTGAACCCAAGGGTGCTTAACCACTGACCCACATCCTAGCCCTTTTTTTACTTTGTATTTTGAGATAGGGTCTTGCTAGGTTGCTTACAGCCTCACTAAGTTGCTGAGGCTGTCTTTGAACTTGCAATCCCCCTGCCTCAGCCACCCAAGCTTCTGGGATTATAGGTGTGCACTACCCTGTCCAGCTCTTCCATTCAGTTTTGATCTTTTCTGGTGATAATTTTAATCATTTCCTACCATGGTAGTGAACTGGAATAGTAGCATTACCAATGACTTTCTAATTGGCTAAACAGAATAAATAGTTTCTAGTTCTGGTATTTAATCACTAAGGTAAGTGATCAGTAAATTATAGTTGTATTGGCTGGTTTTATAAATAATGCTTTATTTGAATACAGCCACGCTTACTTGTGTTCTTTCCAGCTATAGTGGCAACACTCAACAGAAACTGTGAGGTCTGAAAGTTTTAAATTAAGTCTGCCAAGCTCTATTCTAAGTTATTACAATTTGATACTTCTCTTCTCATATTTGTAGTTGTTCCTTCTTAGTTCCTACAATTATTCATTATTTTAGTCCTTTAAATGTAACTTGCTTATTCTGATGTTGTTCCCTTTACCTTCCATTGTATATATTCACTTGGGAGATCATATCTACACTGATGTTACCACTTGTACGTTGTCCAAAATGTTTAGGATTGACCTCCCTCCTGAGCATCTCTTAAACTGCAAAAGTAAGCTCTATAGGAATGCCCCTTAGATACAACACATTGCTGAAACTGAATGCAGAATCTTAAAACACTGCAAATCAGTTTATTTTTTATGATACTATCACCAGTTTATTTAAATACCCAAGTCACACAGCTTTTGGAGATTTTCTCCATGTCTCCTTTTCTTCCTCTTTTCTCCCCCTCTTAACGTTATGGACCATACCCTGGGTCTTGAGCATGTTGAGCATGCTTCTCCTTGTGCACTTATGAGCAGTCTCTCCCTCTGTCCCTCCCACCTCTGCTCTTGATTGCATCACCAGTTTCTGTCAGTGTTTTCATACACACTCTGATAGCCATAGGTCCCCTTTTCCTTTAATTTCTCACACCTCTCTCCCCTTAACTGGCCATTGAACACATGAACTTTACAACTAGGTTATATCCCAAGACCTTTGTTATTTTGAGACCAGTTCTCACTGAGTTGTCCAGCTGGCCCTGAACTTGTGATTCTCCTACCTCAGTCTTCTGAGTGCTGGAATTACAGGTGTGCTCTATCACACTTGGCCCATTTCTTCTGTTCTCTCTTTGTGAACCTTTTCCTTTTCTCCATCTTCTACATTAATAAAGTAACATTTATATTGTATAAAACTGTTACTTTGCTACTAAAAACTTGTTAATAGCTCCATTATCACTTATTTGAATCCAAATTCTTTAGTTTGAAGAGGTTCTCCATGATTTGGACTGTCTACAAACCCAGGTTCATCGCCATGAACTTTGATCCTCCTGCCTCAGACTCTGAGTAACTGGCATTACAAGCGTGTACCATCTGTACCCAGCTGAAATTGCACTTCTTTTTATGTGTCTTTTCATTCTCTCTGCCATATGTCCTCTGAAGGGAAATGTTTCCTCCTAACAAACCTCTTTATCCTGTTAGATTTCAATTTATGTATTGTCTATTCTTAGAAACTGTTCTGTTCTTCTTCCTTTCCCTTTAAGATCTATCCATTCTTTATTTCATGCATATATATATATATATATATATATATATATATTTTTTTTTTTTTTTTTTTTTTTGTAGTGCTAGGGATTGAACCTTGTGCATGCGAGGCAGGCACTCCACCAACTGAATTATATCCCCAGCCCTCATGCATATATATATATTTTTTTTAGTTGTCAGTGGACCTTTATTTTATGTATTTATTTATTTATATGAGGTTCTGAGAATTGAACCCAGTGCTCATTTGTGCTAGGCAAGTGCTCTACCACTGAGCTACAGCCCCAGCCTGTGTGTGTGTGTGTGTGTGTGTATATTCATATTCTTGATAATATGTCCTGTTAATTTTCTGAGAGTGCTTGGAATTATTGTTTTTCATATAATGTATATGTACATATTTATTTTATTTAATAGTCAAGTAATATGACTTGAATTCCAGTTTTCACATTTTCACAGGTTGAAGTTAAACTAAAAGGTTTTATACCAAAAATAGTTGAAATTTTTATTTATGCTTGGTGTAGTGGTACACGCCTGAAATCACAGCGACTCTGAAGGCTGAGGCAGGAGGATTAAAAGTTCAAAGCCAACCTCTGCAACTTAGGGAGATCTGCCTCAAAATAAAAAAGGTTTGGGGATGTGGTTCAGTGGTTAAGTACCCTTGGTACCCTCCAACAAGATTTTTTAAATTTTTTAAATTATTTTTTCTTATTCATTGATGGTAGAAATAAGATTATCATTTTAATATGTGATAGAAGCTTATGAGTCTTAAAATATTCAAAATGTTTAATTAATAATCATCTGAAAACCTGGTATAACAGCTGCTTGGGAGGCTGAGGCAGGAGGTTTGCAAGTTCATAGTCAGCCTCAGCCATTTTGTGAGGTCCTATTCCCATTACTGAAAGGGTATAACATGCTATGAGAACTGTAGATGTAGAATTTTCTTAAATTATTCTTCACTTGGACTGGGAGTTATAGCTCAGTGGTAGAGCACTTGCCTTGTCAAAAGAAAGAAAGCACTCTACACTAATACAACTCTAAGAAAACTGCAAAAATCTAGTTGTATTTTAGCCTGAGCTATGGTTAGTACCAAAGTTGGTCCCGTTTATTAGATGATTTTCATATAATTTTATGTTTAGTTGTATAAAGTTGTGCAATCTTTGCAATATCTCTCACTTCACTTAATATTAAACATCTATCAAATTCACTGGAACTCACTTCACTTTTTAAGTTTTGAATGGACATAATACCCTTATTTATTTATTTTTATATGGTGCTAAGGATCAAACCCAGCGCCTCACAAATGTGAGGCGAGCACTCTACCACTGAGCCACAACTCTAACCCCTAACTTAATGTTAGGTTTTTGCTAATTGTTTTTGTGGAATTTGGAGATGAAAGTAGAATTTTTCTTTCTTTTTTTTTTCTTTGATGGTGGTGGTGTGCCTTCCGTCAATCCATCTTATGAATCAAAGCTTCATGTTAAGCAGTGTTTTCTTTAATGACACATTGAAATGTGAATCACTTTTATAGGGTGGGTGTGCTAGAGATTGAAAACTAAACTCTCAGCCCAGTGAATACCCTCTTTGCCCCTGCACTCAGAATTGACCCTAAGGTACTCTTCTATCATTGAACTACATCCCCGACCCGTTTTACTTTTCATTTTTAGACTGGGTCTTACTAAGTTACCCAGACTGGCCTCCAACTTGGGATCCTCCTGCCTCAACCAACTAAATTGTTGGGATTTAGACATGTACTACTGAGCCAGACCCAATGAATCACATTTTAAATGTAAATTCATTTTATTTATAAAAAAGCAGGGTATTAGGGCTTCAGTAATATAGCTCAATTCGTAGAGTGCTTGCCATGCATGCACAAGGCCCTGGGTTCAATCTGCAGCTCCACAAAAAAAATAAAAGCAGGGTCATAGGTAATTAATAGATGAACTATTATATTGAATATTATAACTATTGTCATGTCAATCAATTTTTTCCCCCATGTAGTACAAACAAAATCCTGAAATGTTCAAACAAACAGCTCGACTTTGGGCACACGTGTATGCTGGAGCACCAGTTTCTAGTCCAGAATACACCAAAAAAATAGAAAACCTATGTGCTATGGGCTTCGATAGGGTAAGTACATAAGGGAATGTTGATTTTGATATATATTTGTTTTAAATTATTGCTGGAAATCTTAGCAGATTGGTTTAGCAAATAAGAGAAAAATCTAATTTTGATAAACAATTTTTCTATTACTAAAAATCCCTGATTATTTTTTCTTTTTGTTGATTACCAGTCATTGGTTTTAGAAACTTTATATGCACTGAAAGTATGAGGCAACTTTAAGAAACAATGAATGATTTCTCATTAAAAAGAATAGTGATTATTTTAAAAATATTTCCTTGAGATTTGATTTTTGTTGTTGTCGCCTTCTCTTTTTTTTCTCTACAGAATGCAGTAATAGTGGCCTTGTCTTCAAAATCATGGGATGTAGAGACTGCAACAGAATTGCTTCTGAGTAACTGAGCCCTAGAGAGAGAGCTGCTGATAGTCAAACTTGCCTCTTCTTGAGGAGCACCAACATCTGTTATTTTTAGGATTCTGCATAGATTTCTTTTAAACTGGCAATCTTGCCTAATGATGTTATCTAGGCACCATTGGAGACTGAAAAAAAAAAATCCCTGCTCTGTAAATAAAGCTAATTAAACGTCTGTGTAAATTTAAAAAGGGGAAATACTTTAATTTTTTTTTTCATACTTAATAGTGTAAAGATTCTTTGAGCTAAGCTAAAACCATGGAAAAAACATGCTACTTTAGTGTTTAGCAGTGTAACAAGACTAGCAAGAGTTTGCTTCAGGATTTTGTTGAATAATTAAGATAATATTTTGAGTGTGTCAGGGCCATTCAAATTGTTGGTGTTGCATCACAGCTACCTTAACTGTTTTTAACATGGATCCTCTGTGCCTGTGAATTTACTTGCATGCTTGTACTTGACTTCTTAGGATGGGTAGCTGAAAAGACCACCATTTTAAGCATTAGAAAATTCTTAAATATGAGATTTATCCAGAATCGAAGATGGTGACCTATTCAGAGCCTTTATGTCCCTGCTAACAGACTGGGACACTATATCTATTTTCCCCCTCTTACCACACACAGCTAATATTCTGATGGTAAAGTTCTCTGTAGTTGGTGGGGAAACGTGCTGAGGGACAGTATCCCTTGCTCCAATTTTAGGTCATAGATTTGGAATGTTTTGTCACAGTTTTTTAAACACTCTTGTAAGAATGTTAAAATGGAGCTGGCAATTTTTTCTTGCAAAACCAGTAAATACTTGACGTTGCAGTATTCCCAGATTTAATGAAAGAACCCAACTTAGTTTTTCAGTGAATTTGACATTGATTTTTTAAACTGATGGAATTTTTTTGTTGAGAACTTAGAAAGATGCAATGAACTATATCTGGTAATTTTTAGCCTAATATTGGGCTTCATAGAGATTGTTTTATCAGATAATTTAAAAGTCACTCTTGCTTGCACCTTCCCCATATTAACACCTGAAAGCTGTGTTGGTGTTTTATTGTACATACTTCAAATGCACATAGGAATAGAATTGTGTTATAAATCTAGCTTTCTTTATGATGTTTCTGATAATATGAGAATTGAAAACTTTACCTTTCTTGTACATAGTCAGACTTTCTATTCATATTAAAGTTACATTTCATTCTAAGTTCAAAAGTTTGAAAATTATTAGTTTTGCAAGCTCAAACACTTAATTTGACCATTTTATGAAGGTTGAAGTAGATTTATGCAGGCAGTTCTATACATAGAAATCCAAGTCTTATTCAATTTTCAGGACCAATGCAAAATAACAAAAATGTAATGCAATCAGATTGAATTAAAGTAAGGCTGTATATTGAGAATCATATAAGGTTTGCTTTCTTCAAGTGTTATTTATCTTAAGTTATAATCGTTGAAGTGTTGGAAAATACCTTTGAACATATTAAGTCAGCATAACTTCATTTGACTTTTCAATAATCTTGATACTAGAAGCAATAAAAGAACCATTATTAAATATATTGTAATGTTAAAGATGTGAAGGTTCTTCCAAAAACTGATAAGGCTTTTCTAATGAACAGTGAACTCTTATAGTGATACTATTGCATACTAAACACAAGTTGCTGTGTATTTTTCCCTTATATGTTTGCTTAAGCATAAATTCCTTTATATGCAATCACATCCTTTTATTGCTATAATTTAGTTATTTTCTAAAGATGCCAAAGGAAACAAGATTTTTCTTTATTTATTTTAAATAGCTAAAACTTCGAACTTTTCTTTATATTTTGAAGTAAGATGGGATTGTGTGAAAATATGGATAGTTTGACCCACATTTGGTTAGTATTTTTTTTTTTTTTTTAGTGGAGGGGGTTGGTGATGATATTAGTAATATTTGGATTATAAACATTATCACATCTATCCAGTTTACTATTTGCCTATATTATCAGGGTATGTTTAAATTGTCTATGGTTACACAAAGGAGAGAGAAGTCAGAGATTACCAAAGTCAAGCATTACACACTTGGCTGCTGGAGGCAGCTCTGCCCTGCTGTGATTTTTATGTATGTTGGCTGTATATTGTATCTGCTCATCTGACTATACTTCAGCATCTCCAGTACCCAGAAATTGGAAGATACAATATTTGGTTTGACATAATGAGTTCTTAATTATAAAAAGTTATTTTCCTCAGTTACCTTAAATGTGATGATAATCCTTCCTTTCTGTTAACATTTTCTACTGTCTTTATGGTTTTGTTTTTTCTTTTTCACTTCTCTATATGTAGATGTAGTTCCCCAAATACAGAAACTAACACAATTTCTTTTTCCTTCTGTTCTTAAGTATGTTTGGGAAAAGGATACTAAAAATTCAGGCCTATAAGATAAGTACCCTGGTGGAAATTATTTTTGTAATTTGCAGTGTTTTAGAATATATCAGTTAAAAAAAAAAAAGTCTTCCCCCCAGCTTCCCCATGAGATCCCATTTAGTACAGGCACATTTGCCATTATTCACCTACACTATGGTAGGCTTTTATTATAATCAAGTCTTTTTCCTGAGTATATGCCTAACTTTTGAAAAATACTTAAGTCATATGTTAGTACAAATATTACAAATCAATGATTGAATGAGTTCTAGTTTGGGACCTAAATACACAGTGGTATGTAAATATTTGAGGAATTTGGCACTAATTTAGATGCTCTGAGTTGATTCTCTGAAATGTTTAGAATTGTGACTATGGCTTACTTAAAACACATAACACCTTTGAGTATATGTAAATGTTTGGAATTTGAGGGGTTTTTTTTTTTTGCAAGTAATTTTTGAAATGAAAGACCTTTTTTCATTTTTTTTCCTGAAGTTTTTCATATGTGATTGTTTATGGAACTTAAAACTATGCAAAATAATTCTTTTTAAGTATCTGTAAGAAGGATTTGGCAATTACATTTTGCTTATTTATGCACTACAGAATGCAGCGTATTATATTACTGTTTAGGCTGCTTAATAAGTTTACCAATGTGAAAAGCAGATCTTGACTGTAAGTGTATGCCTGATTTGAGCTTTTCAAACTCTATAGAAAGTATGATAATGTTTTCACAGTCCTATGTAGCAACATGGGAAGTTAAGAATTGTCAGTTTGAAAGATTTAATATGAATCTGGGTAGAGAAGAGCTGGAGCCAGGTATACCTTCTTGTATATAAATGGAAACAATGTTTAGATATGAAAAAGGAAGCTGTCTGTTTACATTTAACTTTATTTCATGGACTTTTACAAAATGATATATTAATCACTTTTTCTAGTTTCAAGGAATTTGAATTCCAGGGTACAAACCATTGATTTTAGAAAGTTGCATTTCCATTCTTTACCAATTTGAATTAAATGCTTATCATCAGCCAGTTGCTGTCACTGGGAGGAAGGCAACTTGAAGTATTTACTGATAAATAGTCTTTTTCCCAAGTGTGACTTTTTTCCAGTGTCTACAAATTGTCATACATTATATTTGCACTGTTGCAATACAGATGAAAAATCTTGTGACAAAGGGGTAGGGGAGTGTTGTTATCTCCCTTGTCCTGTTCTGTTACTGCTTTATTGGACTGATCTAACCTCATAAACCTGTGATCATCACCTAATGTGAGTTGTGAATGTGCCACCTTTTGCTTGGTTATTTCAACCATGCTGCTATATATAATCAGGTGTGGCACAATTTATAAGTTTGGTTCTGAGGGTGAGTGGAGAGAAGTCAATGCACTGTGCTGTGAACGAATCCTATCTGCTTGCTGTTACCTATTTTTTACAGGCATCATAATAAAAGCTAGACTATTTCTTTGGGGGAAAAGAGACTTATTTAATGTAATTTAAAGACTTTTCCAATAGAAAATGAAATACTATTGAAAATAATATCTATTTTTTAGCTTTCAGCAATTGATGGTGCTTTGTTGTGGTGTCTGCTGGAAGTCTACTGCCATTATAGGGATTCTCATTAACTTCACTGAGAAAGAACCTTGCTTGTTAGCGTCTCTAGATCCCTACTCTAAACAATCTGTTAGTGATGATAAATTCTGTAGGAGGGTCTATTCTGAGCCATTAATTTCCTGTAAGGGGAAAATGGGTGGGTTACCAGAAATACCATTGAAGTAGGGTGGGGTGTGGGTGGAGGGTTGGGTGTTTGTCTTGAGAATTAAAAACTACGAAACACTTTTGTACACAACTGATTTTTTAAAAAAATAAACACATTTTTAAAGATGTTGAATTTTCCCCCTTATTGGGAATTCTTAAAAATAAATGCATGCATGTTTTCCCCTGAAAATGGTTTATATCTTATTTCTGGATACTCCTCTCTGGACAAGCAATTTAGTCTTCACAGTACTTTGAAAAATTACTAGGGTGATGTGGTGCATGCCTGTGATCCCATCCTCTCAGGTGGAGACAGAAGGATCACAGTTCAAAACAAACCTCAGCAACCTCGAGGCACTAAGCAACTTAGTGAGACCTGTCTCTAAATTTAAAAATGCAAAAATAGGGCTGGGGATGTGGCTCAGTGGTTGCGTACCCCTCAGTTCAGTCCCTGGTACCAAAAGGAAAAAAAAATCCTTTGATAGATTTCACAGGCACATGATGATAAATACAGTAAAATTGTATCCGGTCTTTGAATTTGAAAACATGGAAATTGCTTAGTTATAATTATTCGGCAATAGGACATTATTTGGTTAGTTTCTAATTCAGTTAGTTGCTACTTAAAGCAATACTACTTATTCTGTCTACACATATACATCTTTCTGTAAATGTTCATGGTACCCTGAAGAGTACTCTGCAGATTGTTCCCAAAAGTTCTTTGTTTTTTGTTTTTTTTGTACCCAGGGGCACTTAACCACTGGGCCTTACTGAGTTGCCTAGCGCCTCTGAGGCCTTTTACTGAGGCTGGTTTTGAATTCACAATCCTGCCTCAGCTTCCCAAACCACTAGGGATTACAGGTCTGTGCCATCACACCCACTGGTTCTGGGTTTTAAACCTAGTTTTCACTCAAGATTAAAGAGCCAGGACTTTTCTGAGCATTTTTATATGGGTGAAGGACTTGCCCAGTATTTTCTGGCATGTTTATAGATATTAAATGAAATGATGTAGCTGTAAAAATACTTTAAATTTTTATAGATTCAATTTTAACACTAAATCTTTGCTAAACTGAGGACTACTTTGTACCCAACCTACAACCACAAACAGGATGACTTGTTTTCTGAAAGTTGTATTGGCTTGGCAAAGTAGGTATTCTTTCAAAGTCTAATGATTGGGGCTGGGTGTGGCTCATGGTGGTAAGGTATTTACCTCACATGCATGAGGCCCTGTATTTAATCCTCATCACCACAGTCTAATGATCAAGAACTATCTATGAATTTTCCCTTCCTCCATTAATACTGTTGAGTAGTAGAGGCTATATTTTAGGAGTTTGTCCTAACTATTTCACATGGTAAAACTGATTGTGTCTTTAGGGTATTTATAACCAGCTCACAGGCTTAGGAGCTCTATTGCCTGAAGATGGACTTGCTCCAGGTCATTGATTTGGAATATGCAGTAGGAAGTGCCTTTTCATGGAGCAAGGCTACATCTTGTAAGTGCTAAGAATCGAGGATAATGAAATGAGCCCTCGTGCCTAAGTAGTAGATGGTCAGATTTAAAGGGCCGTAAATACTTGGTACTTGTTTTGATCATGAGATAAATTTTCATCAGATAACCTAAAGGTTAAGAAGAGTAATCTTGGAGTTGCAAGTATAGCTCAATGGGAGAGCACCTTACCTAGCATGTATAATGTCCTAGGTATAATCCCCAGCACTGAGGAAAAAAATGGGGAGGGCTAACTTTGTCATGATGTAAAAAAGCAAACATTTTAAGAATGATGACAGGGCTGGGGATGTGGCTCAAGTGGTAGCGCGCTCGCCTGGCATGTGTGCGGCCCTGGTTCGATCCTCAGCATCACATACAAACAAAGATGTTGTGTCCGCTGAAAACTAAAGGAAATAAATATTAAAAAATTCTCTCTCTCTCAAAAAAAAAAAAGAATGATGACAAGAGTGATAGTCTGTTTAGGTGATTTTTAACATGGTTGAATTTCTTTATTTAAACTTTATTTTTCCAAATGTTCTTTGCTTTTTAAAAATCAGTAATAGGGGAAGTGTTCTTGGTGAAGAAAAATTCTCTCTTTCTACTTTAACATTCCATAGAGGACTGGGCTTGTAGCTTAGTAGAGCACTTGCCTAGCATGTGTGAGGCACTGGGTTTGATTCTCAGCACCACATGTAAATAATTTTTTTTTAAAAGGTCTTTTCTAATTTTATTTTGAGACAGGGTCCAGCCAAATTGCCCAAGCTGGCTTTGAACTTGTGATCCTCCTGCCTTCCCCTCTGGTGTTACTGGGATTACAGCAAGAGGCTAGTTTTTAAATGGCTCTTATTTTGTCATTGTTTTTGGTACTGGGTATTGAACCCAGGGGCACTCAACCACTGAGTCACATCCTCATCCCTTTTTATATTTTATTTAGTAGAGACAGGGTCTCAATGAGTTGCTTTGGGCCTTGATAAATAGCTGAGATTGACTTAAAACTTAAAGATCCTTCTGTCTCAGCCTCCCAAACTGCTGGGATTATAGTCGTGTGCCACTGTGCCTGCCTTGATTTTATTTTTTTAGGTTAACTACAAGTCACTAAATACACCTACTCCTCATTAATTAATTCTGTGCTTCCTTTGTAGCCAAGTTTATTACATTTCTGTCCATCGGATATACTTATTATGTCTTCACTCCTGTGTTCATCCCCAGGCTTCCTCTTCACTCAGTAATGGGAATCAGGGTTGAGGGAAGGCTATTGACAAGCACAAAAGCATTGGGAGTACAGTGGCTTTAAGGAAAATGTGGGTTTGAGGGCTATCTACACATGGAAGTGAACTTTGGAATTGAGGTAAAGGAAAATGAGTAATTTGAACAAGGGGATTATGGTATCTAGATTTGAGTAGCAATTATGTGGCTGAGTGATTGAAATGAATAAAAGACAAGTGTGATAAAAGCTGGGTTGTGTACTTGTTGTGGGCCAGATGGAAAAGATAGAAAAGGCCTATGTGGGAAGACTGTAGGGAGTACAACTACTAAACACCATGGTCCTAAATGCTTTGGTGATTCTTTTTTTATATTTATTTTTTGGTGTAGATGTACACAATACAATGCCTTTATTTTTATGTGGTGCTGAGGATTGAACCCAGATCCTACCTGTGCTAGGCGAGCGCTCTACTGCTGAGCCACAATCCCAGCCCCTGTTAAGAATTATTATTATTAAAGTTTGATTGATTAAAGTTGCCAGTCTTATATCCTGTATCTAACTCAACTTGATTCAGAGGATTCAAATCTTCATTTTAATGATTTTTTTAAATTAAGGGCTACACTTTATACTCAAGACTTTCCATTGATTTTAGGTGTGTTTTCTTCATGTAGCAGTTCTTTCTCCAATACTAATTTCTGTTAAATATGCTTGGATTTTCTTCTCTCAGTTACCTACAACATTTGGAAAATATTGCTTCTTTATACCTTTCTTATGTTTAACTCTTAAAATTTGGGCTTGGCCTCCAAGTTGGTACTAAAATTGAGCTGAAAATCTTGCAGTCCTTAAAATTACAGATTAAAAAAATATATATGGCACTCAGTTGCCCAGAGGTAATGTGATTGGTATTGTGGTTTGGATATGGTTGTCCCTAAAAAAGTTCATGTATTGGAAGCTTTGTCTCAGTGTAGGGATAATGAAGTGGTGGTGGTGCCTTTAAGGGATGTTTAGATCTTTTTGATTTTGTGATGTTGGAGGCCCTCTCACATGCTAGGTCAAGGCTACATCCCTCCCCACCCCCTTAATATATTTAGATCTTGGAGGTACGAGCCTCTGAAAGGATTAATATGGTTCTAGCAAGACCTGGCTAGCTCTGGTGAGAAGGGGGCAGTGTCTTATATGGAAGTTACCCCATGCACTTGGTCTCTTCTGCACAGGATGGTTTTTGCCTTCTGGCTTGTTATGATGTAGCCAGGGGTGCTCTTGCCAGAATCCAGCAATATACTCTGTCCAGGCAGCAGATTTGTGAGCTAAATAAATTTCCTTTCCTTGTAGAGAATCCCCCAGCCCAATATTTTGTTACAAAGCAGACCAGGACAGCTGGCATTGTTGAGGCCAAAAATTTAACAGTTTTCAGTCTTGTTTTATTTTTCCAAGCAATTTTAGTAATAACATGTTCATTTCAGGAAACTTAGACTTAAAAAAATAAGCTCTAAGTGGGCATAATGGCACACACCTGTAATCCCAGCAATTTAGATCCTAAGCAACTGAGGGGAAACACTGCTTCAAAAAGGTTGGGGATGTAACTAAGTGGTCAAGTGTCCAGGAAATCAACACCCAGTGCTAACAAACAAATATACCTCCTAAAATTTACTTAATATTTTGGAGTATTCTCCCCTTTTATGTACTGCTTTTAGCTCAATAAAATAGAACTGATATTCATTTTTTTTTTAAGAGAGAATCTTTTTTTTTTTGTAGATGAACACAACACAATGCCTTTATTTTTATGTGGTGCTGAGAATCAAACCCGGGTCCCACTCTACCGCTGAGCCACAATCCCAGCCCAACTGATATTCATTTTTTAAAACATGATTGCAGGGGTTTTTTGTTTTTGTTTTTTAGTATTACGGATTGAACCCAAGGATGTTCTACCATTGAGTTACATCCCCAGCCCTGCCCTGCTTTTTAATTTTTGATTTTAAGATAGGGTCTCACTAAATTGCTGATGCTGGCCTTGAATCTGG